TTTTGCTTGTAAACATCCAATGCAGACACAACCCAATCTAGAGTCTTTGTTTCTTGTTATTCGATAGACCCTATTCAATCACACTGCATTCATATGTGTTGTAACCACAACCTGGGAGAAAACGACCATATCTGTCCACAGGTCAGCTCACGGCGAGCAGGTTATGAGCTTATGTGATGTCGTATACAAAGTCTCCTTCCAATAACACTGGCTTAACACATTCGCAACACGTTTACTGGTGCTAAGGTCAGGGAAGAGGGTGACTAGACTACCATTCACTAGTTGTACTAAGTACTTAAAGGGTACTCACCCTTGTTTAAACCTGGAACACAAAACGAGATGCTTAAAAAAGTTACTGTTTTTGGGGTGTTTGTTTTGTATTTACAATGAAAATCAATGGGGTCCAAACAAAAACCCACTGGACCCCACTGACTTCCATTGTAAGGACAGAAAACTAAACATTAAGACCTTTTTCAAAATATCTTCTTCCGTGTTTCACAGAAGAACAAATTCATACAGGGTTGGAAAGACATGTCATTTTTGGGGGTGAACTATAGTTTTTACAAACGAAGCAGACAAAAATGTATCTTTTTCTTTACAATTCACCAAGCTTTCTCTTCCACTTTGAAATGGCATTTGCATCATTTATCATTCACAGTTGCAGGCGTAGTTTATTTTTACATTTTTTTAGTGGTTTCTAAAAATGGACTCACACAAGTTTCTTTACACATGTTCATGCTATACGAAACAAGCTCCCATAACACTAAAATGCAGCTGCGTAAACAACATGGGGTCAGAGCTCGTGACCTGTAGGAACAAACATGCGACCTTTCTGAACGGTCACAGTTGCTTATTCAAACTCCCCCACCCAACTAATTACAACCATTAATCTACGACACAATCTACATGGAAAGGTGCTGTTAGTCAAAAGGAGCCATCAATAACAAATGCGTTTGAGCATACTTAAACTTTTGACATCCGTTTGACTAAATTTATATCAGTGTACCTTTACAAAGCAAGTCTTTCGAGACAAAAGCATCACTGTTTAGGATCTCTTCAACACTATCGTGATGATGAATAATGAAAAGATATGACGTAAAAAAGATTTTCAATCATAAGATCTCAAAAACACAAATCAGTCCTAAATATAACATTCACATCTGATACTTACATCAGCACAGCCTTATTTGTCCTGCGTATCTATGCAGAAAGGTCAATCTCTTTGTATAACTTGCTAAACTGTGATGTGTGTGTGCGAGAGAGAGTGTGTGTGGTGGAACATTTCTCTTCTGTAGAAGTTTCCCCCGGATGTCATCGAACACCACAAACACCGAAACACTTACAATTTTCCGTTGAGTGGGGTTCAGACCACCAACACCTCAGAAGATCTCAGACAGTGGGGTTACAAAATAAGTTTATCCTCCACCCCCCAAAAAACTTTTGGTCAGCCCCCTAAACCAATATTTCCATCTTTCTCTCTAAGATATAGAAGCCATTATAACCTATAAAGCATCATAAGCTACAGAGGTTCTCAAGTAGTGTTCTGATGAACATCAACAGAAAATCCTAATGCTGAATAATATTAATAATAATATATAAAATAACAAATTAATTAAAAACTAACTATGTAATTGTGCATAGTTAAGATTTCAAAATAAATTAATCATTTTAATTTATAATAAAAAACTATTCCCATATGTTGTGCTGTTGACGTCAAAAGCATGTGTTCAGTCACACTTTATGACATTTTACAACAAATTTACTTGGTAATATGGCCAATACTAAAGATGTATCCCCCTATTTATTCCATGCATTAGTCTGGTAAATCACATTTCTGTTGTCATTTATGCACTTACAAAACTGTCAATATTCCAATTCAGTCAAATTTTGTGTCTTATTGGACGTATGCAGTTCACTGTATTCTGAACACATTTCAATGCTCAGTTTTAACAGCCCTCTACACACACCTTGGCAATAAAATCGCCATTGGCTAGTAAATTGTTTAGTTTACTCGGCAGACTGATATACTATTTAATATTGTATATATAAAAGCTTATGTTTGTACAATGGCACAGCTTTTTAAATATCTGAAAGTACACTCTTAACATCAGTCAGTCAAGCATTATAATTATGATAATCAAGCATTATTTAATGATTGAACTTTAGTAATTAGAATTAAAACTTGGTAACCATGTATGAATGCATTTTTCTCATTTTAACTGAACTTAGGAACTTTTTAACTATGTTTTAACTTAACAAAATTCCACTACTAATAACAATATAAAAAGCACTAAGGATTAATGAGCTGCTGGGTTCACGAATATTAATGACGTTGTCTGCGTTCGCTCGAACTGATTTGCTGAAATTAAAACCGGGACGATAATAGGTGAGCGCCAGCCAATGAGATTGCCGTTTGCGCATTAGTTCCGCCCCCTAACGAAGAAACCGGCAGTATCTTATGGTTGTTCTTAAAAGCTGAAGAATTCCAAATGAACTCTGTTATTTTGACAGGAAAATAGAACAAAGAATATTGTTTACATGTAGCGTGTCAATTCTGCATGCTATGTAAGACTCTTTCGCTCTCTCTCTTTACATGTGTGAGAAACAGTGCTATCAGCAAAGCGACGGCGAGTCATGCGCCTTTACACTAGAGTTTACGGTACGTCAAATACAGGTACACTGCGCATCCATTGAGATGAATTGAAAAATAGCACAGATCGCTTGATGGAGAGTGAAACTCTGAAGCGCTCAGTCAGAGTGTTCGGCGACTGAAAATATACCTGTGCTAAACTTATACTTAGCCTCCAACTCACACACTGGCGAGTAAAATCTAAGAATTTATTAGCCAATGGCTAATGTTAGACATCATTTAGTCACCCAGAGTGAAGATTTAGTCGCATATGCGAGTGATTTACATTTTACAAGTTAACTTTACAAGTAAAAATGTACAAATATATAAGTAAGCTCAATGGTTTTCAACTGGTTTTGTTTCAGGATAGAGATCTTTCATTGGACGTCAAGTGGCAGTCCAAAAAAGTACTTTTCAAGCCACTGTTGGACCTTACAAGTGACATTTTACAAGTAAAACTACATGCATTCTTTAAAACATTACAAGTAATTTTTTTACAATTGTATGCATACTTAAATTTTTGCTTGTAAACATCCAATGCAGATCTTGCATTTAACATCAAGCAGCAGCTCAAACAGTACCTTATAAGGCACTGTTGAACCTTACAAGAAACACTTTACAAGTAAAACTACATGCATTCTTTAAAACATTACAAGTAATTTTTTAACAATTGCATGCATACTTAAAATTTTCCTTGTCAATGCCAAATGCAGATCTTGCAAAGAATGTCAAGTGGCAGCCCAAGATAGTTCTTAACAAGATACTGCTGGACCTTGCGAGTAAAATTCTACAAGTAAAATTAGATGCATTCTTAAAATCCTACAAGTCATTTTTATTTTACATTTTATGCATACTGAAAATTTTGCTTTTAAATGTCCAAAGCAAATCTTGCATTGAACGTCAAGTGGCAGCCCAAGATAGTTCTTAACAAGATACTGCTGGACCTTGCGAGTAAAATTCTACAAGTAAAATTAGATGCATTCTTAAAATCCTACAAGTCATTTTTGTTTTATATTTTATGCATACATAACATATTGTTTGTAAATGTCCAAAGAAAGTCTTGCATTGAACGTCAATTGGCAGCCCAAAACAGAACTTGCAAGATACTTTTGGACCTGCCAAGCAAAATTGCATGCATTCTTAAAATTTTACAAGTAAATATATGTATAAAAATATTTTTTTATTTTTTTACAATTGCATGCATACTTAAAATTTGGCCTGTAAATGTTGAATGCAAGATCAGCATTAGATGTCAAGTGGACGCCTAAAACATTTTAACACCAGGACATTACAAGTAACATTTTACAAGTAAAAATGCACGCTTATCTATAAAACTACAAGTATTTTTTACGATTGCATGCATACCTAAAATCTCAGTCCAGAAGAAAAACCAGTCATGAACCCCTGAGCTAGACCATGAGAAGACAAAGATGCTAAAAGCCCAACAGGCTGTCATTCATTCATTCTTTCATTCATTCATTCATTCACGTGACACATTATCCATCCAAGTTACCTATTCCACCTGAACCAAAGCCAGCTTCATAGAAACATCCAACCCTACTGCAATAAAAACCACAGTTGCACGACACGTCAATTTTCTCATGAAAAAGGGCTTTGTGGACGAAACCACACATCCAGATCTGCCATTACAGTCTGTTGAAAAATGCGCACTTACACACACGCTCACACACCAGGGGGACAGAACAGGAGATGATGTCACCGACTCAACCAGGGGAGATGCGTAGTGCACAGAAAACAATTAGAACAAACCTTATGGTCATACATTGCACTAATATAAGGTCCTCTCTGGATCAAACTGTATGCAAGCAGATTATTTGCATGCAAAGGATGAGAGCGGAGGTTATGTAATGATGTGGCAGAGAAAATAAGGCACAATGGGGAGCAGCTGAGATGTACAGATGTGACATAAACCTTAAATAAACACAAAAGCTCTCATGCATCTCACATGACAGCTGAAGGATCTCGAAAAGAGGGCATTGAGAGGGTTGCCAGGTATCAGAACAGAACGAAACACTATGCATGCAATCCATGTTGCCCGGCTGCACAAATCACAGACACTGCATGCATTTTTGGGCATCATATGGATGGATTATCTTGTCATGCAGCAGAAATTAAACCCTGGAGGTTACATAAAGGCATATGCATGGCGTCCGAAGCAACCTGTCCCTAAAATCAGCGTGCAAGGTGAATGCACGTTTTATGCCTCTGTCTGTGCATCATGTCAGGGATCTGGAAGCTTGCATTGGCTGGTTTGGTTGCTATGCAATGGGATAAAAAAAGGAAGACAGGGCATGCATGCATGCATGAATGGTGACACCAATACAGAAATACAACCATAAAGCATGCTTACCTTCATATACAGGTCTAGGAGAGTCCAGTGAATTGAAGATGATCTTGAATTATGATGAAAGGAGAATAGGAGGGGGGAGAGGACAAAACAGCAGCTCATCTGCAGGAAAATAACCACATTGCTGTAGATGTTCACATTACATTCAATTCAAGGGGCCTTTGGCACAGTAATAAATAATATTTCCAAAACGGGAACGCAATCCTGGCTTCTTCTCGGGTGCGGTGCATTAAATAAAAGCCTCAGACGCAATTGCAATCATCTCTGTGGCTGCTGGCCGGGTTTAGCTCTATAATCCCGCATATGTCTCTGTATTGCTGCTACTGGCTGCTGCGGCTGCAACGTGCAGCGTTAACATGGCGCAACCGCTCACGCCCCGCCTACATTCTCATAGGTCGGTCGTGGGGGCGTGGTCGAACCGCGGGGGCGGGGCCTGGAATGCACAGATAAGTTCAGTTCTTACTCGAGAACTATTGATAGATAGATAGATAGATAGATAGATAGATAGATTATTGTCATTTGTATAAATTTACTTTAAAACAGGCTAAATTGATCATTTTATTTTGTCAGATTAAAATGTGTGGTGGAATATCATAGATATCCCACATATTTTACAAACTAGCCCCTACATTATTAACATCACCAGCTTCTGGCCCAAGCGCTCGTGTGTGTGTTTGTAGCTCCATCTACTGGAGAGGATCTAAAGTTATACAAGTCTCATTTCCAAGGTGCGACCTGAATCTGCACCTCAAACACAATTACATCACATTAACACTTTATAGACGACAGCAACTCTAGACAAACGAGTCTAGAAGGTTCTAGCGGCTCCGCTGATCGCCGGAAGCAGCTCTAGATGACAATTAGAACACTGGAGGGGCTTCGAGAGAAAGCCTGTCTGTTACTAGGCAACCATTATGAAGTCATTAGTGATTCTAGAACACATCACCGCTACAGATCAGTTTCCAGCATATTCTGCTGTAGTAAATTACAGAATTTGTTTGTGTACAAATGAGCCGGAAACCAAAATGTCTCTTATCTTTAGCTGAAGGAGCGTGGGATGTGAAACATGCATATAATTTTCAGTCGAATCACAGCATCAGCCCGTCAGTTCGAAATGGATGCGTTTTGATGGATTTAAAACCCATGTCAGATTTGAAATTCGATTTTTATATTCACAATATAATATCATGACTGTTATTAAAAAGTAGCCTTTTTTTTTTTTTTTTTTTTAACATAAATCAGTTTTTTTTTTGAGAAATAGCATGGAAGTTCCTTAGGCTAGTAAATACCCTGGTACATGATTTTTTTTTTCACCATGATACTGTACACTGCATCTAAAGTCCTATCAACAAGCCTGAACACTTAAAATTATTGACAGGCGTAGAGCGTTTTTTATGGGTAATGTGCACTATGTGTACTAAATATTGATTTATATTTATAAATATTTATATCATTTAATTTGTTATTTTTGTCCAATACAATACAGTATGTAGTCTATTTAAAATATGTTCCATTCCCTCTTTTAAATACCCACTTTATACAGTTGTTTAATTATTTATTCGAAATTCTTGCTACATTTTTCATTTATTTGTCTAATAAAATGAGTAAAACGAATGTATAAAGCAATATTAACATTAATACTTATGCACTCTTTGAAATAAGGAATTGACTCATGCGAGGGTTTCCAAACTGAGCTCTGACAGTGGAACGTACCAAAACCGAGAGGAAGAGGGGTGACGAACTATCTGTTTTTCACATTTATTCTTAATATTTATATCTAAATTTTGTTTCATCCATTTTGACCGAATAAAATGTGTTAAAATAATCAAAATCACAAATATATATCGTGAAGTCTTTTAAATAAGTGTGATATTTGTCAAAGAGCTGGCCAGTTTCCCCCTGCCAGCGCTGTAAGTCAGTGTAAACTAACAGTGAACGCTCTCGAGAGGTGTGAGGAACTGAAAACGGCTCTTCGCGCGGCCCGATAAAAAGCCACTGCATCCAGTTGTATAACAAATAGACAAACGTTTCCGCGTGTGTATTTACTCGGTAATGTCGGCAGCAACATTTGTGGAAACGGAACCGTCTACTGGCATATGCTGTCGTCTTGTGTTAAGGTAATTTTTAATGCATATCATTAAATCTCGTATGACAGTTAAATGCATGCTGATTACATCTATCCACAGCACAAAGGAATAAAATCGCGGTTTCTATATATTAAACAAGCGTTTATTATGATAACTGGATGTTTTATATAGATGTTTTACCCGTTGAATTGTGCGTTTATGCATTATGCATGAACATATTAAGTAAGCTTACTGGTGAATTGCAACATTAAGCAGTTGCACACGCAAATCTCAAAATGCAAAAGACACTGTTTCCTTTTTGCCAGGAAGATGCTTTCATTGCAATGCAGCTGCATATAATGGAGAACATAGATATGCACGTATAAGATAAAGCTTAATGGGTAATGCATCAGGCAACCCGGACAGAATGATCAAGGTGGGTGCACTGATATGCACATATCACATATCATGAGCAAATATATACAGTCAAATTATAGTCAAAAAGAAACTGTACAGTTGTGTGATGGAAAGTCGGTACAGTACGTGACACAGTTGTTTTTACTAAAGAAAGGCCGATTAATCAAACGATTGTTTTTTTTTAGATTAATCACACTTAGCCATAACTGCATTTACACCTAGTCCATTACGAAATATTGAAATACTTACATTTTGTTTTCAGTTAAATTTAGTGAGCAATTGTAAAAATTATTTTCTTGAATATTGAGATACTCACGTTTAGTTTTCTGTTAATTTTAGTGAGCAGTTCTTGTGAAAATGTACTCACATATTTTTAAATTCAATAAAAATATTATATATATATATATCTACACACAATTGCGTAAATCAAATGTAGCTTTTAAGTAAATATTTAATTAAATATTAAAAATGATAAATTATGTGAAACTATTGTGCAATTATGGAGTCCAATATTTTTACATTCAGTAAAAATACTGAAGTTTATATATATAGAGAAAGAGAGAGAGAGAGAAATTATCAAATTAATCAATACTCACATTTTGTTTTCAGGTAATTTTAGTATTAACTAAAATAATTTAAATTTTAGCAATTATTGTGAAAATAAAAATTATTTTAAAATTATTAAAATTAATAAAATTATTTTATTTAAAAAAACAAATATTTTAAAATGTAATATAAATATTGAACAAATTATATATACAATTAGGTAATCAAAATTAATGTTTATCTTTTAAGGGAGTATATAATTCAATATTTAAAAAATGTTAAAGGGGTCATATGATGCTGCTAAAAAGAACATTATTTGGTGTATTTGGTGTAAGTAAAAATTAAAACATACTCAATCTTATTTTTATTTTTTTTAAATTTTTTTGGATAGTGTATTTACAGACATAAGATTGTAATATTTATATCGACAACAGCATTGTTTAAACACAATTTTTCGCAACACGAATAGCCGATTTGTTGTATTTTAAGACTGTGGTATAAACTGGGGAAAAAAAGGCCCAGAAACTATTTTTGCTCAAAAAAATTGCTTGTAAATTTCAAAATGAATCACAAAGAAACAGTAAGTGGCACACTGATTTAAACATGAAATGTATATAATAGTATTTCCTTGAATCTCTGTATTATTTACAAATTCATAAAGTCATGTAGGAAATCACATATTGTCCAAAACGTCCTATAATATGAGTGGTACAAGGCCTGTTTTAGATCCAGGTGGTTCTGCGATCCTAAGAAGTGGAGTCATATTCCTGATGACTTCCCTGTATTGTGGCTGACAGGAAGGCGACTGGAGGAGATGTGTGATACTGACATCAGGCCTAAAGATCCAACACTTCAGGGTGTTAACACCAGAGCTTGTGTTTGTGGTTTGGAGGTCGGGTTCTGTATTTTGGAAGTCTTTGGTGTAATTGTATTCATCCAGTTTTAGCTCAATCTGTCCGAGTCTTTCTTGTTGTTGGCAGTTTGGAGCTGAGATCACACTGCAGAATCACAGCGTGGCAATCCTAGTGTCTCGTCTAGACCGTATTTCCTGTGTGTGTGATGTTCTAGTTGGATGTCTGGGAAAAGCCTCGGTTTGCACACTGCTTCTTTATGCCAATGTAGAGTCCATTAGTGACATTTCAGACATTAAAAGTCTGTTGTTTTTTCTCTTAAAGGAGCAGCTCACTTCAGCTCACAAGTTCTGTCATTGTTTATTCACCCTCATGTCGTTCTAAACTCACCTTATTTCTTTTGTAAAACACAAACAGATGTTTTGAAGAATGTTCTTGTTCTTTTGTGTCAGATTTTTTTGTTCTCAATTATTCATTTATGAATCATACTTTTCCTGTTTTCAGGTTCAACTTACTGACTCAGTGTTTTCCTGTGATATTATTCTGTTTGAACCTGAATATTCAGAAGAACATAATATGGTTTTATTTTCTGGGATTAGACTGGGAAAAGTAAAACATTATTGCTTAATATGTTAATGTTATTATAATTTGTTTATATTTATTAAAATGATTAATTCTATTACTGTTTATATAATTATATAATTTTTAGATCTTTTAAATATTTGTACCTTATTGTTACATTATTCTTGTGTTTTATTTTACATAATAGTTATAGTAATAATAATAATAATAATTATTATTATTATTATTATTATCATGCTCATCATCGTTGATTGATCCATGTGTTGTTATTTTTTTTAATGCAAACCAATAAATAGTTATGAATCATATTTTAATAATAACAATAGTGATCACAACAATCATAATTCAATTTTAAAATAATAATTATTAATAATAATAATAATATATTTTATATTATTTTATAATACACGTTTATATTTTTGCATTACTAATACATTACTCTTATTTTTATTTTGCATACTTTTTATTGTTTTAGTATTATTTATATCATTATTGATCAATCCATTTGGTATTATTAATTTTGATTTTACAAAAATGCCAATAAATAGTTATTTTTATATTAATATTTTAATAATAACAATAATAATCATCATAACAGTCCTTATTAATATAATACTACCGGTACTTTAATTATTAATTATTTCATTATTATTATAATTAAAACTACTAGTAGTACTACTAATTATAATAATACTATAATTACTACTAATAATAATAATATATAATTTAATATTATTTTATAATATGTTTTGATGTTTTTTTTTTTTTACATTATTCTTATTTTTATTTTACATAATTTTTTATTATTTTAATATCTATTTAGTTTTTATTATCATCATCATTATTGATAAATCCATTTGTTATTATTTAATTTTTTTACATGAATACAAACCAATAAATATATTATTATTATTATAAATAATATATTAACAACAACAACAACAATTGTAATAATGATCATAATAACTATAATTTATATAATAATTATTAGTAGTATTAATAATAATAATCTTACAAAAACAAAAATTACATTGTGTGTTCTGATAACAAAGAAACTCCATAAAGCCACGAGTGCAAATGTACTTTATAATACTGAATAATTTCAGCTGATGAATTAACACAGATTCATCACAGTATGCGTTTGTACACGTTCCTACCTCTCATCACACACCATTGTCTCTGTATTGCAGGTGTAGCTGTCTCCATGGCGACCAGCGTGGTTCCCGGGGACAACCTGCCCACATATAAGCTGGTGGTGGTGGGAGACGGAGGCGTGGGGAAGAGCGCGCTCACCATACAGTTCTTCCAGAAGATCTTTGTCCCGGACTACGACCCCACCATCGAGGACTCGTACCTCAAACACACCGAGATCGACGGCCAGTGGGCCATTCTGGACGGTGAGCAGTTCAGTGCGACGCCAGAAGAGGGCAGTGCAGATCCAGAGGAGCTGAAACAAATCAAATCAACCTTTAGTCATTAAAGGGGTCCTATTATGCTCTTTTACAAAGTCTTGGTTTTGTTTTGGGGGTGTACTAGAACAGGCTCTCATACTAGGTTGTTCGAAAAACACATTATTTTTCCTCGGGAAATGTCATGCCTCTTACCATAGCCGCCTCCGAGCTTCAGTGTAAATATTGCGTCAAAATCAAATCAATTTGAGCGCGATTTAAACCCGGATGATTGTAAGCACTCTAAGCTCGTCTGCCTTGGGAAAGCTAGCGTGTCTCCGACATAGTGATAACACTCGTTGCCTTCTCTAGTGCAGCTCAACCAGGTCTCGTCCCATTCGTCGATATTTGTGATATCATAAATCCCGGAAAATATGCGTTGTAGTCCAAACGAGTCGTTCGTTGTAGTTTTTGAAAAGTGATTTCTGTTAAATAAAATATCTCCTTTTGAAGTGGACTTTGAACTTTGTAACTTTGCAGATCTTTTTTATGCTCAAACAGCAACATTACAGACTAACTAAAGTTGAAAAAGTGAAAAAGCATAATAGGACCCCTTTAAATACACAACATTGAATCATAAAGCAGTCATTTCTGATATGAAATATTTCTGAGCACAAAACGTTCGGTAGAGTTAGAGTTAATAGTAACAATGTGGTCTATATCACAATAAATAAAACTAAATATTAAAGACATTTTAAAGACAAATATTAAAGACATAAAAGTTGCAAAGAAAAATAAATGAAAGAGAAAAATATATCAAATATTGTATTATATACCACAAGCGCATTATCTTAAGTGTTATTTTGATATTATTTATATACTATTATAGTATTTATTAATATTTTGAATTGAATGCTTTTATTTTTATATTTACAGTTTTCATTTTTATTTTAGTTTAAGTTTTAGCCAGTTTGTTATGTGCTTTTGTCATTTTTATTAGTTCAGTAATTTATTTCAGTTAGTTACATTGCCTACAGTTAAGGCAACATTTCTCATTTTTAGATTTTTAGGTATTTATTTATTTTTTATAAATATTTTTGTATTTTATGTCTATTAAAAATGATTTTAATCTTTTCTTTTAGTTAACAATAACAACACTGATTATATTATGAATAAATAGTTCAATGTACAATACAAAGATAAATCATAAGAAATAATATTTTAAAAGCTTAACTGAATACATATTTATAAATTTGTCAAATATTTTACTTTTAACTTTTAATATAGTATATTAAAATACGAAAAATATTTTAATATGCTACCATGTGCAATACAAAGAGGAATCATAAATGAAGAAATAAAATAAAAAAAGGTTAATTTAAAACATTTATAAATTTGTCAAATATTTTACTTTTAACTTTTAATGTAATATATATAATAATAATAATAATATGATACCATGTGCAATACAAAGAGAGATCATAGATTAAGAAATACATTTTTTAAGTTTAATTTAATACATATTTATTCATTTGTCAAATATTTTATTTTCAACTTTTAATATAATATGTTAAAATAAGAAAACGTAAGAAAAATACTTTAATATAATACCCTGTAGAGTATAAAGATAAACCATACATTAAGAAATACAATTTAAAAAGCTGAATTGAATACATATTTAGAATATATAGAATTGTATTAATGTGAAATACTCAACATAACAATGAGTGAAAGGTTTAATTTAAAAATAAAATAGTCAATAAAATAAGTAAATAGAAAAAAATAAAATGTGACTAAATTAAGTAGATAAAAAAAACTTTCAGGGTTTGCTGTGTATATGTGTGTTTGTGCTTATTTTTTCCATTATTTAATCTTTTATTAATAATTTTTGATAAATATTAGAAACATTTTTTACAATAATGCAAACCAGTATTGTGTGTATAAACTTGTATAAACTGGAGTGGCGATGTCTGTGTGTGTCTGTGTGTGTCTGTGTGTGTGTGTGTGTGTGTGTGTGTGTGTGTGTGGTGTAGTTCTGGACACGGCGGGGCAGGAGGAGTTCAGTGCGATGAGAGAGCAGTACATGAGGACAGGAGACGGCTTTCTCATCGTGTTTTCAGTCACTGATAAAGCTAGTTTTGAACATGTGGATCGTTTCCACCAGCTGATTCTGAGAGTGAAGGACAGGTATGAACACGCATAAACACATCTGAGATGCAGACTGATATTCAGTGCGATTTATTGAGTGTTTTTATTGTGTGTGTTGCAGGGAGTCGTTTCCCATGGTTCTGGTGGCTAATAAAGTTGACCTGGTGCATTTACGCAAGATCACTAGTGAGCAGGGACGCGAGATGGCCTCCAAACACAGCGTGAGTCAAACGCCATTCACAACACACTTAATCTATCAAAGAAATACATTCTCATTTCATGTCGACTTTTTCATTCATTTTTCTAAATTATTATTTTTATATTATACATTAATATTATTATTATTATTATTATTAGTCTGTCCGTATTTAATTTTTTGTTGAAATATTTTCAAATATTTTACAATAACGCAAACTACTAAGTGACAATAAGACCAGCAGTGTTTATTAAGAAAGAGTCTATTTTGATTTAATCTAGACTTTTTTATTAATTTTACAAAATGCTTATTTTTATATTATATTTATGTATTTTTTGTATTATATTTTGTCATTATTACATTATTATTTTAATGTTTTATTATTATTATTATTTATCAGTCCATTATTATTGAACAGTCAAATGATCTTTATATATTTTTAATTATATTTTTACATTATTATTTTTATTGTTTGAATGTTCATTATTATTATCATCATTATTATTATTATTATTTATCGGTCCATTATTATTAAACGGTCAAATTATCTTTATATATTTTTTAATTATATTTTTACATTATTATTTGTATTATTTGAATGTTTATTATTATTATTATTATTATTATTATCGATTGGCCTATTTGTTATGTAATCTTTTGTTTGATTTTTTTTTTGTAAATATTTTTAAAAATTGTATAGAATAATGCAACTAATAAATAGTTCACAATAAGACTGGCAATGTTTTTTTTTTTAAGTTAATTTTGATTTCATGCTAACTTTTTCATTCATTTTTCTACATTATTATTTTTATATATATTTTTTTTATATTTACCTCATTATTTTTATTATTATTGATCAATTCATTTGTTCTTTAATTTTTTTAAACATTATTATTTTATATTATATTTTTAAATGTTCACATTATTAGTACATTATTATTTTTTTATAATGTAATTTAATTTTATTGATTGATCCATTTTATTATTTAAACATTTATTTAATATTTTAAATTTAGCAAATATTCTTAACAATAATGCAAACCAATAAATAGTTCACAATTAGACGAGCAGTGTTTATTAAGAAATAGTCGCTTTTGATTTCATGTTGACTTTTCATTCTATTTTTCTACATTATTATTTGTATTTTATATTAATACATTATTGTAATTATTATTATTAATGATTAATCCATTGTGAATAAATAGAATAATTAATGATTATTATTATTAGTAATAGTATTATTATTAATAATAATAATAGTAGATAATTTTCTACTAATTGTTGTATATTTATATCTTCCTCACAGATCACGTATATTGAAACAAGTGCAAAGGATCCACCCATGAATGTAGACAAAGCGTTTGACGAGCTCGTCAGAGTGATACGGTGAGTCGAATTTTACAGATTCCCTCTGCTTTGACTCTCCGTATGCTACAAAGCTATGTGTTAGCATGATCGTCTCCGTTTACAGTCAGCAGATCCCAGAACGGGGCCTGAAGAAGAAGAGGAAAGCCAAATGGCGGGCAGACAGACCTTCGGGTTCCCAGAGGCTGCACTGCGTCTTACTGTGACCGCACACCCTCTATCTCAATGCCGCGTCAATGCTGCGATGATGACTCTGTGACTCGGACTGTTAAAACACACACACAGCTATGATAATATCCAGGAACTACAGGACACAGCTTGAATATTCCATAATTAATGACGAAATTCCCCAAAATGTGGAATTTCAGCCAATTTTCATGGGATTTTCTGAGCAGGTGAAAGCCTGGATGATCGGACAGGATTCTAGCGCTGTTCACTCACGTTATCTCTCAGAGAAAAATTCAGAGACAAACTTTCGGAGGCCTTGTTTTGTATTGTGTTTCTATATTTATTGTGCTGAATTATATATTGTTAATTGATTGTTAATACAGCATAACGGCTTTGACAACAACAAGGGAACAGACGGGATTCAAGTTGCACAACTGGCATTTATAGATATACTCAGAAGGCAGGGGGAAATACTGGTTACCATTGTTAATCATTTGTTTTTATGAAGAAAATTAAGATATGTCAAAACAAAAGAAAAAACGCATCCGGGTTACACACGACATAATAAAATAATGCAAAACATGTAAAACACATAATTAATAGCACAAAGTGTGTAAAAGTTTTTACATAAAAAGTTGTATAAATTTTTAATGACTTCAACAACAATTTACCATAAAAGTGCTTGTTTTGGCTCGTTAAATATAAATACAGTTTTACTACATATGGTAATGTAACATGCTGTTAACTAATTAACAGATTTTTTTCTGTTGCATTTTTTCAATAAATTTGCTATCATCAACTTGGCATTTACGTCTCGCAATTCTGAGTTTTTGTCCTGCAAGTTTACATCTCACCATTCTAAGTTTACGTCTCGCAATTCTAAGTTTACATCTCACAATTCTGAGTTTACTTCTCGCAATTCCAAGTTTATATCTCACAATTCTGAATTAACGTCTTGCAAGTTTAAGTCTCGCAATTCTGAGTGTATATCTAGCAAATCTGAGTTTACATCTCGTAATTCTTAGTTTATATCTTGTAATTCTGAGTTTACGTCTCAATTCAAAGTTTACTTCTCACAATTCTGAGTTTGTAACTCGCAATTCTAAGTTTATATGTCGCAATTCTGAGTTTATGTCTCGCAATTCTGAGTTCACGTCTCGCAAATCTGAGTTTACGTCTCAATTCTAAGTTTATACCTCGCAATTCTAAGTTTACTTCTCACAATTCTGAGTTTGTAACTCGCAATTCTAAGTTTATGTCGCAATTCTGAGTTATGTCTCGCAAGTTTAAATCATGCCATTCTGAGTTTATGTCTTGCAAGTTTAAATCTTGCAATTCTGAGTTTATGTCTTGCAAGTTTAAATCTTGCAATTCTGAGTTTATGTCTTGCAAGTTTAAATCTTGCAATTCTGAGTTTATGTCTTGCAAGTTTAAGTCTTGCAATTGTGAGTTTATATCTTGCAAGTTTAAGTCTCGCAATTCTGAGTGTATATCGCGCAAATAAGAGTTTACGTCTCGCAAGTTTAAGTCTCGAAATTCTGAGTGTATATCTAGCAAATCTGAGTTTACATCTCGTAATTCTTAGTTTATATCTTGTAATTCTGAGTTTATGTCTCGCAAGTTTAAGTCTCCCAAATCTGAGTTTACGTCTCAATTCAAAGTTTATACCTTGCAATTCTAAGTTTACTTCTCACAATTCTGAGTTTGTAACTAGCAATTCTAAGTTTATATGTCGCAATTCCGAGTTTATGTCTCGCAATTCTGAGTTCACGTCTCGCAAATCTGAGTTTACGTCTCAATTCTAAGTTTATACCTTGCAATTCTAAGTTTACTTCTCACAATTCTGAGTTTGTAACTCGCAATTCTAAGTTTATATGTCACAATTCTGAGTTTACGTCTCGCAATTCTGAGTTTATGTCTTGCAAGTTTAAATCTTGCAATTCTGAGTTTACGTCTTGCAAGTTTAAGTCTTGCAATTCTGAGCGTATATCGTGCAATTAAGAGTTTACGTCTCGCAATTCTGAGTTTATGTCTTGCAAGTTTAAATCTTGCAATTCTGAGTTTACGTCTTGCAAGTTTAAGTCTTGCAATTCTGAGCGTATATCGTGCAATTAAGAGTTTACGTCTCGCAATTCTGAGTTTATGTCTTGCAAGTTTAAATCTTGCAATTCTGAGTTTACGTCTTGCAAGTTTAAGTCTTGCAATTCTGAGCGTATATCGTGCAATTAAGAGTTTACGTCTCGCAATTCTGAGTTTATGTCTTGCAAGTTTAAATCTTGCAATTCTGAGTTTACGTCTTGCAAGTTTAAGTCTTGCAATTCTGAGCGTATATCGTGCAAATAAGAGTTTACGTCTCGCAATTCTGAGTTCACGTCTCGCAAGTTTAAGTCTCGCAATTCTGAGTTTACGTCTCAATTCTAAGTTTACTTCTCACAATTCTGAGTTTGTAACTCGCAGTTCTACGTTTATATATCGCAATTCTGAGTTTAAGTCTTGAAATTCTGAGTTTACATCTTGCAAGTTTAAGTCTTGCAATTCTGAGTGTATCGTGCAAATAAGAGTTTATGTCTCGCAATTCTGAGTTTATATCTCACAATTCTGAGTGTACATCCCACAACGCAATTTACAAATGGTCGCCTTTGCACTTGCGTTAAAAATTTGGTGGATATTCTTTGATTTTCCACTTAGAAATGCATGGGTAACTATGGTAACCTGGATTTGTTTATCCATTAAACCACGCCTCCAATGTGTGATGTGTCACTTGTATCTATAAAAACTCAGAAAGTTGCTGTTCTTACATCAGCACCCCAGTGAAGATATATAATGTTATTAATCAGGATTGTAGATCAAGACTATTATGATGAAAGTTTTTAAAATTTGATGCCTGATCACAATTATGTTGCCATTAAACTGAGTCAAATCAGTAACTGCACAAAAACGTTACAGTGTTACGTTAAGATCACAGGATTGATCTCATGTTTATCTTTTTTCGCTTGTCTCGAATGCATCGTCACTTTACTTTGAATGTGTTTTTGCTTGTTTAGAAGTTTTCATTGATGTTTTGAATGTATTGTATGTTGTTCTATACGGCAATTTTGCTTTTGATGTTTCAAGTCCAGCTTTAGTGTTTAGCATATTAAAGGAACATCATCCTAGTATCCCGTTTAGGCGTTTTGCGATTGTATACTGCTCTTGTTTTTTTGTGTTATTTTAAATGTACGGAATCTGTTTTGTTTCAAAGACTGGATGTTCTCCTTACATTTTCAGTTTTGTTTGAAACTTGGTGCAAATTTTGTGGTTCAGTTATTACTTTTTTGTTTTTACTATTCTTTTTTAAAAATAATTTATTATAAAATGACATGTATTCTGTGATTATGTTTGTATGAAGATCATTAAGACCAATTAAGGCCAAAAACTGCTCTGAAAAAGAAGGGATTTTTGCATCAGGAATATTGTAAGAATTTGTAAAGTGGAATATAAACATAATAAAAATCTAATAAATCAATCAGTTGTGAACTCCTTATTTTTTATTTTGTTTGAATCAGCATAAATCCCATATTGTAGTTGTCTTGGTTTGGGTTTTTTATTTTATTTTTTGCACATAGGTTAAATATAATACTTAATTTAATAATTTCTTAATAATAAGTGAATAAATAACGCTTAAATAAAAAACCAGAAAATTTGGCTTTGTTATAAATAGCATACTGCTTTACCATGCTGTTACTATTTCCATAGGATTTTTTTTGGTATTTCATACCAACCAGCCTTTATGTTATGCCTTTTCAGCCACAAGATGGCGCTATTTATAAGAAAACATTAGAGTTCTCACAAAGTGAACACTTCAAGTTTAAGAAAAACAGCCTTATTATCCACAGCATCCTTATTCTTATGCGACCTACTTTACATGAGAGGAAATCAGTCGCTGGATATGAAACTTACTGATGTCTGCACATACTCATGTTAATAATTATTATAATAGTATTAACCTCATTCACAGACAGACCCAACAATACCATGCCCAAATGCAATAAGCCAACAGAAGGAAAGCTTAAGTGTTCTTAATTGATCATAAACCATGATTATATTCGTGTTGATCAAGGGTTTGCAACACTTTCTGAATGGATTTGAGTGTGGAAAGCTAGGCTCTTGTTATTGTGCCAGTCACACAGTCACTGTGACAAAAGAAATAACAGCAATTCAAGGTCAAGGTTCCTGTAGGCCTACAACAAAAAGAGATATTTGTATTCGGCTCACTGCACCGTCACTTCAGTATATATTTTGTTTTTATTGTCTTTTTTCTGCATGATTCATTTCATTGTTGATGGACGGATATTTAAATTAAATTTTCAAAGGGTTCCATCAATTGAAACAGCTTTCAGACATCAAAAATTGACCGTTAAACTTGAACCAACCAAAGGGATTTGTCCCTAAAATATCTAAGGGACATATCTAAGTTTCACATTTGCACTTTAAAAGTCACAAGGCTGCAAATCTCTTGACTTTTCAGATCTTCGAACATCACGAGAATATAAAAATGTTTCTGTAAAGTTCATATAAGGAAAAGTTATATGAGTATTCCCGGGTGCAGTACAAGTTAAACCCTACAGCATTTTGGGATTGAGGAATCAGATTGAGGGATGAATCAAAATTGCATTCTGTGGAAAAATACAATACAAAAATTGTGCATGTTGCTCTGAACTATATGAACGAACATCTACAAAATGAGGTAAGACACGGTTAACAAACGGTAAAATACTAGAACCCGACTGATATATAATTTTGCCGATTTTATCGGCCGATATGAGCCTGTCGCAGATATATCGGTATCGGTGAATATGCCGCCGATATGCCACCGATATGAACTTTTTTTTTTACAAAACATAAAACGCAGATAAAATGCTTTTAAATTATGTAATTACGTAGTTTGTCGAGCAGACAATTTGTCCAGCAGACCATTGTTTGCTACTGGCAACCTGGATGAAGTGGGCGGAGGATGGCGTTCGAGAGGGCTCCTCGAGCTGAAGGGATCCCCCAAATGTGGTGGAGATCCG